CCCATCTCGGCATGTATAATTATGGTTATCTTGATTGGCATCACAATATTTAGTTAATTTTACAAGGAAAGGTTCCATAGATTTCATCAGTATTTCAGTAAAACTACTCACACTAGTGTTAATATCAGACTGACTAACAGCATCAGGGATGGTTACAGCAACACATAGGTTCTCCTGATTGTCAGACAACAAATTTAAAAAACAATCCTTAAAATCATCATTCCATTTGTATAATGGTTTACGCTCACCACTTTCAGTAACCTCATGTGTAACAGTGTGATAAATCTGACATTTTAATTGAATATGCAAAGGAGCATGGTCAGAAAATACTGATACACACCCCAGTAGAATGACTGCATGACGTGAGAGACATAATGTTCCCAGTTACCGCAACAATTGTCTTTTTGTGACCTCTGTCTTCCCTTGCTCCACACCAATGTCTTTGTGATAATGTTGATTCCGTATCAATTATCTAGGGGCCTTGCAGGGGAGGTTTGCATTTTTCATAGCTAATTGGCCAAACCTACACAGGACGTAGAAGCCAGCAGACCGCTTGTTTGTGTGGTAATCAAGAAGCAACGACTAGCCAGGGAATAAGGCAACATTTGATGTACACTATCACACCAGTCCAATTCAACCTTTCTATCTCTATCAACATTAATTATTGAACAATAAATAAAAACAAGTTTCACTTCTCTTGGCCAAAGACTATTAAGTATATAAAGCTAATATGTTTTTTTTATGTACGGCTTTTTACGATATTTCATGACATTGTTAAACAATTTTATGAAATTAGGAGAATGTTGATTGAATTAGGTCTGTGCTTCATAACATTAGCCATTTACATGTGATTGTGCGTTTTGAAGAGAAGAGATGACACGGTCGTTAGTATTGTGTTGTACATTAAGAGTACGGTAATTGGACCTAAGTTGAGTTGTGAGGTTTTGCAGGCTATTGGGATGAAGGGACTTGTGAAGTCTTACCATTAATTTGTCTACAAAGATTGTCACTGTATATACCCTGTGTGATGTGTCCAGCTAAACTCTGTGTCCCTTAGTTATACCCTCTAATTGATGATGAAGTCCGGTTCACACACAACCTCTCTGGCAGAACTTGCCAGACAGCAAAGTGATTTGGAACAGTTGCACTGCCTTTTCACATGCCAAATGTATTTATGTTTTATGTTTGTTATCATACTTCCCCTTACATTCCCTGTCAGATATTCTCTTACACAGAGACACAACAGTTGACCAGTCGCTAGGCCAGAATCATACTTTACCCTAGTCTAATAAGATTATTAATATAAAAAATCAATGAGTTTCAAAACAATCCCATTATAATCAGTTATATTGTTAAAAAATGTTTTTATCTGTAAGATTAAAAATGGGGACTATCAGCACTTGTGTGTCTAGATCACTGTTGGTACTTGTGTGTCTAGTTCACTATGGGTACTTGTGTGTCTATATCACTATGGGTACCTGTGTGTCTAGATCACTGTGTGGGTACTTGTGTGTCTAGATCACTGAGGGTACTTGTGTGTCTAGATCACTGGGGGTACTTGTGTATCTAGATCTATATGGGTACTTGGGTGTCTAGATCACTATGGGTACCTGTGTGTCTAGATCACTGTTGGTATATGTGTGTCTAGATCACTATGTGTAACTGTGTGTCTAGATCACTGTTGGTACTTGTGTGTCTAGATCACTGTGGGTACTTGTGTATCTAGATCAATGTGGGTACTTGTGTGTCTAGATCACTGTGGGAACTTGTGTGTCTAGATCACTGTGGGTACTTGTGTGTCTAGATCACTGTGGGAACTTGTGTGTCTAGATCACTGTTGGTACTTGTGTGTGTGTCTAGATCACTGTGGGAACTTGTGTGTCTAGTTCACTATGGGTACTCATGTGTCTAGATCTCTGTTAGTACTTGTGTGTCTAGATCACTGTGTGAGTACTTGTGTGTCTAGATCACTATGGGAACTTGCGTGTCTAGATCACTGTGGGTACTAGTGTGTCTAGATTACTATAGGTACTTGTGTGTCTAGATCTCTGTTGGTACTTGTGTGTCTAGATCTATATCACTGTGTGGGTACTTGTGTGTCTAGATCACTGTTGGTATATGTGTGTCTAGATCACTATGGGTACTAGTGTGTCTAGTTCACTATGGGTACTTGTGTGTCTAGATCACTATGGGTACTTGTGTGTCTAGATCTCTGTTGGTACTTGTGTGTCTAGATCACTGTGGGTATATGTGTGTCTAGATCACTGTGGATACTTGTGTGTCTAGATCACTGTGGGTACTTGTGTGTCTAGATCACTGTGGGAACTTGTGTGTCTAGATCACTGTGGGTACTTGTGTGTGTGTCTAGATCACTGTGGGAACTTGTGTGTCTAGTTCATTATGGGTTTTCATGTGTCTAGATCTCTGTTGGTACTTGTGTGTCTAGATCACTGTGTGAGTACTTGTGTGTCTAGATCACTATGGGAACTTGCGTGTCTAGATCACTGGGTACTAGTGTGTCTAGATTACTATAGGTACTTGTGTGTCTAGATCTCTGTTGGTACCTGTGTGTCTAGATCTATATCACTGTGTCGGTACTTGTGTGTCTAGATCTCTGTTGGTACCTGTGTGTCTAGATCACTATGGGAATTTGCGTGTCTAGATCACTATGGGTACTAGTGTGTCTAGATCTCTGTTAGTACTTGTGTGTCTAGATCACTGTGGTTACTTGTGTGTCTAGATCACTGTGTGGGTACTTGTGTGTCTAGATCTCTGTTGGTACTTGTGTGTCTAGATCACTGTGTGGGTACTTGTGTGTCTTGATCACTGTGGAAACTTGTGTGTCTTGATCACTGTGGGTACTTGTGTGTCTAGATCACTAGGGGGACTTGTGTGTCTAGATCACTATGGGAACTTGTGTGTCTAGATCACTGGGTACTAGTGTGTCTAGATTACTATAGGTACTTGTGTGTCTAGATCTCTGTTTGTACTTGTGTGTCTAGATCACTGTTGGAACTTGTGTGTCTAGTTCACTATGGGTACTCATGTGACTAGATCTCTGTTGGTACTTGTGTGTCTAGATCACTGTGTGGGTACTTGTGTGTCTTGATCACTAGGGGTACTTGTGTGTCTTGATCACTGTGGAAACTTGTGTGTCTAGATCTCTGTGGGTACTTGTGTGTCTAGATCACTGTGGGAACTTGTGTGTCTAGATCTCTGTGGGTACTTGTGTGTCTAGATCACTGTGGGAACTTGTGTGTCTAGATCACTGTGGGTACTTGTGTGTCTAGATCACTGTGGGAACTTGTGTGTCTAGATCACTGTGGGTACTTGTGTGTCTAGATCACTGTGGGAACTTGTGTGTCTAGATCACTGTGGGTACTTGTGTGTGTGTCTAGATCACTGTTGGAACTTGTGTGTCTAGTTCACTATGGGTACTTGTGTGTCTAGATCACTGTGTGAGTACTTGTGTGTCTAGATCACTATGGGAACTTGCGTGTCTAGATCTGTGTGGGTACCTGTGTGTCTAGTTCACTATGGGTATATGTGTCTAGATCTCTGTTGGTACTTGTGTGTCTAGATCACTGTGGGTACTTGTGTGTCTAGATTTCTGTTGGTACTTTTGAGTCTAGATCAATGTGGGTACTTGTGTGTCTAGATCACTATAGGTACCTGTGTGTCTAGATCACTGTGTGGGTACTTGTGTGTCTAGATCACTATGGGTACTTGTGTGTTTAGATCTCTGTTGGTATTTTTGTGTCTAGATCACTGTGGGTATATGTGTGTCTAGATCAATGTGGGTACTTGTGTGTCTAGATCACTAGGGGGCCTTGTGTGTCTAGATCACTATGGGAACTTGCGTGTCTAAATCACTGTGGGTACTTGTGTGTCTAGATCACTAGGGGGCCTTGTGTGTCTAGATCACTATGGGAACTTGCGTGTCTAAATCACTGTGGGTACTTGTGTGTCTAGATCACTAGGGGTACTTGTGTGTCTAGATCACTATGGGAACTTGCGTGTCTAAATCACTGTGGGTACTTGTGTGTCTAGATCACTAAGGGTTCTTGTGTGTCTAGATCACTATGGGTACTAGTGTGTCTAGATCACTATAGGTACTTGGGTGTCTAGATCTCTGTTGGTACTTGTGAGTCTAGATCAATGTGGGTACTTGTGTGTCTAGATCACTAAGGGTTCTTATGTGTCTAGATCACTATGGGTACTAGTGTGTCTATTTCACTATGGGTACTTGTGTGTTTAGATCTCTGTTGGTATTTGTGTGTCTAGATCACTGTGGGTATATGTGTGTCTAGATCACTGTGGGAACTTGTGTGTCTAGATCACTGTGTGGGTACATGTGTGTCTAGATCACTGTGTGGGTACTTGTGTGTCTAGATCACTGTGTGGGTACTTGTGTGTCTAGATCACTAGGGTACTTGTTTGTCTATGAGTTATGAGTACTGTTGACAGTTTGTAAGTTGTGAGTACTGTTGACAGTTTGTAAGTTGTGTGTACTGTTGACAGTTTGTAAGTTATGAGTACTGTTGACAGTTTGTAAGTTATGAGTACTGTTGATGGGTTATTAAAAGTTAAGATTAGGATAGTCCAATATTGATGAGATTGTTAAACTTTCTTGCAGTGTTTCAAATACTTTCGGAGTACACACATATTTTATGAATGGGACTTATGAAAGTTGATAGGTGCTTGCTATCATTTAATGAGATACACATGTTGGAGGATGAATCTTTGAAAGTCTAGATTGACATTCTGAAACAAATCAGGGATTATATTTATAATTCCACTTTCATTGAGTTTTCTTTGCTGCCTATTACACACCGACACATTAATTAAGTGAACCTGACATTCTTTATGTATTCGAATTAAGGATACAAATTCTGGCTTGAATAATGAAACACTTCCTTGTGAGAGACATAAGGAGGATTGCCTATGTCATTAAACACATTTGAAACAGATTCAACAATTTTTTTTCGTTAACTTTGTAGAGAAAAAGAAAAGTCGGAGACTAAGGACCGTAAGGTGCTGGAGATACTACAGATGAAAGATGAGAAGATCGAGGAATTGCAAACACTTGTGGCGGCCCGAACCAAGGAACTCAGCGAAATTGCTGTACGGTATGTGATGTATCTGGATCCTCACTGAAATTTGTAGAGACATGCTAGTTTTAATTGAAACAAGGATAATTGGCGCAGTTGCATGTGTTAAATAAAAAGTAATAATTTTACACTGATGAAAAAAAAATCTGTGAGATCGTCATTAATTGGATTCATGCTTGTTTATTGAAAGATGAAAACGACAAGAGAAATTACCCCGGTGTTATTATTTCTCAGACAGGAAAAGTGTTTTTGAAGTCTATCCCATCCCTAATATCAGTCTTCCCTTGTCTTCATCCCGAAACTCTCTGTCGGGTTTTCTGGTAAATTTCTAAGCCCATATTTCTTTGCATGTTATATTCCCTGTGAGGTAATAAATGTCCAATCTGTTAATTTTCATCAAACATCTGTAAATGTTTTGTTGATTTAAGCTACAAATTGGGCTATTGTGATGTAAATTGTGAGATTTTCATCCCATTGTTGTGTTGATGAGCCGGATAGAAGATATGTTAAGGAGTTAGGCACCAATATGTTTTGAGTTACTTGTCAATTACTTTCCTTATGATCCTCCACATTTGAAGAACTACTTCCTTGTGATGCTGTCCACTTCCTCTTCCTGTCTGTAGATATCTCATGGTACATGTTTGTGTTTAAAGAAAGTCCCACAGACATGTAGGTACATGTGTAACAGATTCAGGAAGTGTCACCATGGTAACAGAGTCAGGAAGTGTCACCATGGTAACAGGTTTACACAGCATCCTCACACTTTATGTATTATTTGGGTTGTTCAGTTAAGTTTGTCTATTACACACTATGGAATTACCTTTGCAAATCTCTTTGTTGTACAATGTATAATGTTTCCATTATTTTCCCTCAAATTACATACATAAAATAATATGCTTGTGTTTTTGAAGTCACAATATAAAGTTTGCTCCAATATCTCCTAAATATCTTGATAGTCGGACCACAATACCCTGAATAAAAAAGACCATGTTGTTCTGGAAAGTGGCCTATACCAGTCTGCAGACACGTAGGTTTTACAAAGTGGCCTATACCAGACTGCAGACACGTAGGTTTTACAAAGTGGCCTATACCAGTCTGCAGACACGTAGGTTTTACAAAGTGACCTATACCAGTCTGCAGACACGTAGGTTTTACAAAGTGGCCTATACCAGTCTGCAGACACGTAGGTTTTACAAAGTGGCCTATACCAGTCTGCAGACACGTAGGTTTTACAAAGTGGCCTATACCAGTCTGCAGACACGTAGGTTTTACAAAGTGGCCTATACCAGTCTGCAGACACGTAGGTTTTACAAAGTGGCCTATACCAGTCTGCAGACACGTAGGTTTTACAAAGTGGCCTATACCAGTCTGCAGACACGTAGGTTTTACAAAGTGGCCTATACCAGTCTGCAGACACGTAGGTTTTACAAAGTGGCCTATACCAGTCTGCAGACACGTAGGTTTTACAAAGTGGCCTATACCAGTCTGCAGACACGTAGGTTTTACAAAGTGGCCTATACCAGTCTGCAGACACGTAGGTTTTACAAAGTGGCCTATACCAGTCTGCAGACACGTAGGTTTTACAAAGTGGCCTATACCAGTCTGCAGACACGTAGGTTTTACAAAGTGGCCTATACCAGTCTGCAGACACGTAGGTTTTACAAAGTGGCCTATACCAGTCTGCAGACACGTAGGTTTTACAAAGTGGCCTATACCAGTCTGCAGACACGTAGGTTTTACAAAGTGGCCTATACCAGTCTGCAGACACGTAGGTTTTACAAAGTGGCCTATACCAGTCTGCAGACACGTAGGTTTTACAAAGTGGCCTATACCAGTCTGCAGACACGTAGGTTTTACAAAGTGGCCTATACCAGTCTGCAGACACGTAGGTTTTACAAAGTGGCCTATACCAGTCTGCAGACACGTAGGTTTTACAAAGTGGCCTATACCAGTCTGCAGACACGTAGGTTTTACAAAGTGGCCTATACCAGTCTGCAGACACGTAGGTTTTACAAAGTGGCCTATATCAGTCTGCAGACACGTAGGTTTTACAAAGATTTCCTCAATACTGCACTATTGTAATGTTTATGTTCTAGACGTTTTGGTTTCAGTAAGGTCCAAAAATTAACTAGAATCTTATTGGTCCAGACTTTTGTTTCACAAATACCCCTTGGATTCGTGAAGTCCCAAACAGATAATTAATTCATTAAAAACTGACCCTTGGATTTACAGAGATCCCATATATACAAAATATTACTTCACTTGAATCCACAAAATTCACCCTTACCTAAATAGAGTTCTATGTTTTAAACTTGGAGACTTGGGTCAATAAGATTTCACAGATATAGAAAGACTTTGTTGGTCCAAGTAGCTGTGATTATTTCGCTGCCTTTTTATAAGACAGAAATATGAGTACAGTTTATAATTACAATATTTCTGCCTGTAGGCGAATGGACAACCAGGACAATTTTGGCAAGATACAAACTGAGATGGAACGCCTGCGGGATCGTAACTCACACTTGGACATGCAGGTATGACGGTTTTATTCAGTAAATATAAAAGAAGAAATTCCTCGGATTGACCCTTCATTCGTTAATTTGTATAAGTTACCTGGTAAATATGTCCTGCATCCTTGTATAACATTGAACTTCCTTGGTGTGTCTTATTTGAAATGTTTTTGAGATATGGGTTGAAGTGAAGGTGGTGTTTTGAGGCAAGTTCAGAATGCATGTTACATAAAATGGTGTTTTTCTCTAATTAGAGTTTTGCAGTGAATAGCTGTGTGTATTTTGCCTTTCTCTGATTGGTTGATTTTAATGTTGCAAACACAACACTGACTTTTGACATCATCTGAATGTGCGATAGCTTTGCATCAACAGACATAAATTGTAAATCTGAGAGTTAAAAATTAAATTGATTCTCAGTTTAGGAAGCAAGTTGATTTCTCCTTTACTGATTGATTAACTGTGTATACATATATATAACAAAACGTGACATGTATAAACACAATGTTATGGTGATAGAATTGTAACACTTTGTGACGGGAATATCGCCATAGAAGCCACTTGTTTACGACAACAGGACAAAAAGACATCGTTGAGTTCGTAAGAATTACATCCTATTAGCGTGAAAGATAAATTTAAGGGAGAAAAAGTTGAAATAGACCGAGATAAAACTTGGTGCGTTAACATGACCGCGGATATAGCCGAATCATGTCTCGTCTCCGACAGCATCTGAGGTAATATTGAGCTTGTGATAAACATCTAGGAAGGTTGTGTAAAAAGTGACTATTTCTCACAAGTTTCTAAATGACAACTAGCAAATGTGTCCCCTAAAGGGTCATAACTCCGCAAACAATTAACTTTGAAAAACGAATGATCGTCAGCCTCGTCATGAAACTATCACCGAGTCTGGAGAAAGACTTGTTGAAGGAAACCCCTCCTAGCTACTTAAGGGAATTTTAAAGAAAAATGGTATCTTAAGAAAGTGGTCCAAAATTGAATTTCCTCAGGCAGTGTATGGCGGGTAATTAAATCCCCCGCGGTTGTGTTTGTCGACGTGTTGCGGTGTATTAATCCAGCAATGTAAACCTTGTGCAATAGGTCATAAAAAGGGAACATTATCCAATAAATCTCAAGGCATCAAATCATTAGACCTGTCAAAAACGCAGTTTGTCAGGGATATTTGGTCAGTAACACGAATACTAAGCATAATGTGTCCGCTATCTCAGACCCCGCTACTTGATGGTGTGATATTGGCTTTCCAATGTTGGCCAAGCTGGACACACAGAATGTGCCTCAGTTGGCTGCCCGGGCTGTTCGATGCCGTCATTATTGTCATGAAAGATGTGTCATGTTTATCACTTAGTATATAAAGCTAACTTCAAACATGGTTTTATTATACTTGAAGTCTATGATCAAATGACATTTTTTTCTGTTCTCATGCAATCCTTTGTAATGCTGCTTGCATAGGTTTCTTAATGTCCACAGGCGTTTTTATATTTCACATAGAAGAGTCGTCTGTCAAATGATACAGAATATTCTGTGTGAAGTTAGTTAAGATTAGATTATACAGGTTATTCTGTAGGGAGGTAGTGACTGTCAGATAATTCAGGTAATTCTGTGTTGGGCTAGTGATTGTCAGATTATACAGGTTATTCTGTATGGAGGTAGTGATTGTCAGATTATACAGGTTGTTCTGTGTAGAGGTAGTGACTGTCAGATTATACAGGTTGTTCTGTGTAGATGTAGTGACAGTCAGATTATACAAGTTATTGTGTGTGGAGGTAGTGGCTGTCAGATTATACAGGTTGTTGTGTGTAGAGTTAGTGACTGTCAGATTATACAGGTTATTGTGTGTGGAGGGAGTGACTATCAGATTATACAGGTTATTCTGTGGAGGTAGTGACTGCCAGATTATACAGGTTGTTGTTTGTAGAGGTAGTGACTGTCAGATTATACATGTTATTATGTAGAGAGATAGTGACTGTCAGATTATTCAGGTTGTTCTCTAGGGAGATAGTGACTGTCAGATTATACAGGTTATTGTGTGTGGAGGTAGTGACTGTCGGATTATACAGTTATTGAAATATTCTGTAGGGAGACGGTGACTCAGATTATACAGGTTGTTCTGTGTAGAGGTAGTGACTATCAGATTATACGGGTTATTGTGTGTGGAGGTAGTGACTGTCAGATTATACAGGTTATTGTGTGTGAAGGTATTGACTGTCAGATTATACAGGTTGTTCCGTGTAGAGGTAGTGAATATCAGATTATACAGGTTGTCTTATGCAAGGTTATGACTGTCAGATTATACAGGTTGTTCTGTGTTGAGCTAGTGACTGTCAGATTATACAGGTTATTCTGTGTTGGGGCTAGTGACTGTCAGATTATACAGGTTATTCTGTGTAGAGGAAGTGACTGTCGGATCATACAGGTTGTTCTATGGGGAGGTAGTGACTGTCGAATTATACAGGTTGTTCTATGGGGAGGTAGTGACTGTCAGAGTATACAGTTTAGTGTGTGTGGAGGTAGTAAATGTCAGATTATACAGGTTATTCTGTGTAGAGGAAGTGACTGTCAGATTATACAGGTTATTCTGTATTGAGCTTGTGACTGTCAGATTATACAGGTTGTTCTATGGGGAAAGTTACTGTCATATTATACAGGTTGTTCTATGGAGAGGTAGTTACTGTCAGATTATACAGGTTAGTATGTGTGGAGGTAGTAAATGTCAGATTGTACAGATTATTCTGTGTAGAGGAAGCAACTGTCAGATTATACAGGTTATTATGTGTTGAGCTAGTGACTGTCAGATTATACAGGTTATTATGTGTTGAGTTAGTGACTGTCAGATTATACAGGTTGTTCTAGGTAGGGAGGTAATATCTTGTTGATGGTTTTTAGGTGTATATGTTAGATGTAGACAGGACACCAGTGCCAGATATACCTCCCCCACCCTCTCTTGTTGATTGGATGTGAAACATGATAGATAATTTAATTTATCTCCGGTTCCTTTGTCTGTGAAATTTGTCCCACCAATGTGCAGCAGAAGGTGAACTATTGAATATTACTGTGCCAATCCAGCCTCATTTCACACTGGAGTGTTCCACCAATTGACTGCCTCATCACTTGTCATGTTGTATCAATATTTCCCCTCACAATCTTTTTTCATGACTGTCTTGTCATCCTTGCTGTCAGCCTGTTAACTGGTGCTAGTACATCATCTTGTATGCAGGTGCATGGTATGATTGTCGTGTAGCTATAACCTAAGCCATAAACCCAAGGGTGTTATCACAAAGTACAAACTTGATTGTGTGCTGTGGGATGGCTGTTATTACTGATACACTGGGCTCTACCTGCCCTTGAGTTGTGCTGTCCCTGCCTTTCAACTTCAGTCTACATTCTGTACCTACATTTGAATTTTGTTGTCCCTGCTGCTGAGTTTGCCTAATTTACCTGATATCTAAGTGTGTTTGGTTTTGCTACATCTGTCCTTGTATTGTGTCTGTCCTCCATCACTAGGTTACTGCCCTTGAACTACAGTTGACTTCCACTTGATCATGATCTAAACGCTTGACCTTGATTGCAGCATACCATACCTTTAATTGTGATGTACTTACCTTTAATCAAGTGGTACCTATAGCCTTGAAACATTTTTACCTGCCCTTAATTGCAGCTTGTTTAATTACCTCGCTTGAACTTAAGTTTTCTTTATTCATGGGGTACCTGACGTTCATTTTTTACGTGTCTTTGATTGTAGTTTACCTTGCTTGAACAATGGTTTACTTATCTTTAATCATAAGGTACCTGGTGTAAATTGCGACTTACTCACCTCTTAACTGCAGTGTTACTTGACCTTGATCATGACATACCGGTCCTTAACGATGGTTTGCCTGGTGTACCTGCCCTATCATAAAACACATGCCCTTTGATCATTTTGAAACTCATCTTCAAACTGTTTTGCTCCATCTCTTCAACTTTGGTTGAAATGAGTATTGGAATATACATATAACAATAAATGTACCAACAGTATGCACTGAGTGTACAGATAGGGTGTCCAGTAGAGAGGTACACTACTGTACTGTAGACTGTTTAGGTTGTATACAGATAGGGTGTCCAGTAGAGAGGTACACTGCTGTATGAAGACTGTTAAGATTGTATACAGATAGGGTGTCCTGTAGAGAGATACACTGCTGTACTGTAGACTGTTTAGATTGTGTACAGATAGGGTGTCCTGTAGAGAGATACACTGCTGTACTGTAGACTGTTTAGATTGTGTACAGATAGGGTGTCCAGTAGAGAGGTACACTGCTGTACTGTAGACTGTTTAGATTGTGTACAGATAGGGTGTCCAGTAGAGAGGTACACTGCTGTACTGTAGACTGTTTAGATTGTATACAGATAGGGTGTCCAGTAGAGAGGTACACTGCTGTACTGTAGACTGTTTAGATTGTATACAGATAGGGTGTCCAGTAGAGAGGTACACTGCTGTACTGTAGACTGTTTAGATTGTATACAGATAGGGTGTCCAGTAGAGAGGTACACTGCTGTACTGTAGACTGTTTAGATTGTATACAGATAGGGTGTCCAGTAGAGAGGTACACTGCTGTACTGTAGACTGTTTAGATTGTATACAGATAGGGTGTCCAGTAGAGAGGTACACTGCTGTACTGTAGACTGTTTAGATTGTATACAGATAGGGTGTCCAGTAGAGAGGTACACTGCTGTACTGTAGACTGTTTAGATTGTATACAGATAGGGTGTCCAGTAGAGAGGTACACTGCTGTACTGTAGACTGTTTAGATTGTATACAGATAGGGTGTCCAGTAGAGAGGTACACTGCTGTACTGTAGACTGTTTAGATTGTATACAGATAGGGTGTCCAGTAGAGAGGTACACTGCTGTACTGTAGACTGTTTAGATTGTATACAGATAGGGTGTCCAGTAGAGAGGTACACTGCTGTACTGTAGACTGTTTAGATTGTATACAGATAGGGTGTCCAGTAGAGAGGTACACTGCTGTACTGTAG